CACACACATCTGCACACACACACACACATCTGCACACACACACACACAACTGCACACGTGTTGCCAGCCATTAAAAATTCTGCTGCAGTAGCAAAAATTGCTTCTTAATTACACTACATTCGCATCCGCTTGCTGTACAACATCTCACTCTCTCTCTCTCTCTCAGTCTCCCTGTCTCCCTCTTTCTCTAGCGATTGACATTTTCAATCGCATCGCATCGCATCGCCTCGACAGTGTCACAAGTGTTGCAGAATGCCAAGTTCCATTTCCCTTTCACCGCCTCGGGCAACTTCACAATTAACTACTAATTGCTCATACGCGACGTTGGCTGCACGACACTAGAACAAAGTCGGGTGGGTAAACTATGCCTCGCAGCCCTCCCACCCCCAACCACTTGCCCCTCTGTCAGCCGCCATGTCCTCTGTCGTATTCTTCGAGCTGTCAAGTCTTCTTGGCTTTTGCTTTTGCTTTTGCCTTTGCCTTTGCCTTTGCACTAATTATCCGCGCTGTCAGACACCTGCTGGCACTGCTATTGTCCTGGCCGTCTACTTACTGAATTAAGTTTTAAATTTTTATTAAATGCTTGGCGCATTTTTGTGAACTCTACTTCTCTCCCTTTCTCCCTCTCTGTCTCTCTCTCGCTCTGCTTTTGCTGCTAATGTGGAGGCAAGTGTAATTAGTTTTTAATTGCTTTTCTGCTGGCAACTATGCGACCCGCGTCCTGTAAACAGTTGTGATGCCTTTGTGTACTTCCACTTGCCAATTTCCACGTGCTAAATCAACTTTTTTTTGGCATTTTATTTATTTTCATTTAAATTTGTTTTTGGGTTTTTCTTTTTTGCTGTGTAAATTGGTCACCACATCTGTGCCGTGTCAGCCAAGTCAATCAGCAATTCGGTCCATGCAACGTCAGCGGCATGTTAAATATGCCGGGGACCATTGCCACAAAAAGTAATCAGAAAACTTTGGCAATAAATCTATGAATACATTTAATGAAAACCCATAACGAAGCGATGGCGCTTGTGTATTTATGCCACGCCCACAATGCTGCTCATACGCCCCAAACCATTTCAAATCAGCATACACCGACATTCAATAGAAGCTTGTCTAAAGTATATAGATATTATATATAGGATTGGCGACATTCAAATTCAAGAGAGAAACTACTGAAAATTGAAGAGAAAAAAACATACAAAACCAAGAGTTATTGGTATATTGTAATATATACAAACTATTAGATACGCTATTTCATTGCTGCAAATTAATCATTAATCAAATTAGCATCAATTATTTTCGATTTGTTATAAGGTTTTCTAATAGCAATTAATATATGTATATATTATCTAAATAACCACTCACAGCTATCGCTCATTCTTAATTTGAAAACAAATACGCCCACCTGCAAATCGTAAATAAACATTTCACATTTCAGGGTATCAATCAATTGCAGTCACCTCCCCCTCGCCCAACCAACCACTCCTCGCCACACCAGCGACCAATTCTCGGGCGCAAACACTTCCGTCACTTGTGCAAATGTCAAACACATGTCGAAAGGCGCAAAACATTGACAAACAAAAACAAAATGAAAAATATTTACGAAAAAAACAAAATGGAAATATGTAAAAGCGGAAATATGCCGCGAAACAAGAAAAATATGTCGCACGCTCAACTCCGAAAAGGCAAAACGAAGCATAAGGAGAAAAGGTGTGAGGGCTGGCACAGTTCCAAGTCATTTGCACAAATGACGATCAATTTTGTGTGCCAACTGGCAAATATTTAATGCCCCACATATTTGGCTGAAACGCGTTTCAACAGAAGATGGTTGTGGAGCAGCAGCAGCAACAGCAGCAGCAGCTGCTCAAATTGGGAAATCGCTCATTCGCAACGTTGACGCTGCCTCCAATTGCCGTTTTGATGGTTCATTAAAATACCTCCTTTATCGACCAATCGGACCACGGACCACGGACCACGGACCACACCGAACTCACTAACTCGAGCACAGGTGGCGACGCATTGAAATAAATGTTGACGGCAGCTGCCGTTGTCTAGTAGCTGCTCTTAGCTGCACAGGCTTAGATAAATGGCAATATAAATTAAGATATAAGAGGCTTTAAGCTTCAGCTTTTCATGCTCTTTAATTTCAAACATTTTGTGTGGCTTAGGCTTTAAATACTAACAGTAATAACAGAATAAGGACAGGTAGTCGAACACACGTGTTTTGAGCTGCCGGAAAATCGTCTACCTATACCCTGTAATCGCAGAAATATGAAGAGGGAACTTTTAAACTGTAACATTCTTCAGATATACTTTTGGCAGTCTGCACAAGCCCTGTGCTAATTTGGTAAAAGCCCACGCATTTGGTTAGCTCAAAGTTTTAATTTTCCCGCCACTTTCTCATAAGAAAATCACAAACTCTACTTTAAAGTTTGGTTTTGTTTAAGTATAATTTATTATCATAAGTGAATTTCTTAATGCTTACAATACCGCCAAATGGAAAGCGCGAAACTTTTCTCAGCGTTAGCTGCAAAATATTGTTTTTGTACAATTATGCGTATACGTAATATGCACCATTGAGGGTTGTATAATAAGTTGAACTACAGAATCGATGGACTTATTTAAGGCACACTCAAGGGTATTACCTAGTTTAGCACAATCGACTTTACCGCCTTGCTTGTTTTCTTATTAATTTACATGCGGCACACATACCGAAGGCGCCTGTTCCTTATATATATTTATATATATATCTATATATATTTTTTTTTTGTTTGCCATCATCTAATTTAAAATATTTTTTCCCCCCAAAACTCAATTACATAGGGAGCTGTAGGACCGCTGGCGGCAACAGGCTCCAGGTAATTGCCTGAAAATTAAAGGAACAAATTGTGGGCAAAGTTGAGAGCAGAAATGTTTCTTAAAGTAAAAACTTTTAGCATTGGCATGCTTGCGTCTCACATTACAATAGCATAATGAAATAAAGAATAAAAAAAAAACCAGCATTCAACAAAAAGTTCCAGGAGCAGCAGCAAGCACTGCAATTATGCAAGAAATTTTGGGCAAAACTCAAGTTTGAGTGAATGTTAATGACTCGAAGTGGCACACAAAGTCAACTCAAAAGAATGTCTAACAAGCAATGCCACAGGTTGACAAACATTGCGCACAGCTTGCGACTTTCAACTCAAATTAGACTGGCAGCTACACAGAAAAAAGTGAATATGACCAAATTGAAATATTCTTAAGTTCCGAGCAACCACAAAAATTGATTTTCTTTCGTTTGCAACTCATAATAAAGGCAGTAATTTTCAGGTGAAGTTGAAAACTGAAGAAGGTTTGACAAGAAGAATTATTATACAAATAGTGTAATTTTCGAGATGTTAAAATTTATCGCTGCTTAAAGTAAATATAATTGTCGAATTGCTGATACTGTTGAAGAGCCCTAAGAAAATTTTGAGAAAGTATAGATAAGCGAATGAGCGCGTCTTGGGAATCGATCTTGGACACATATATTTTTCAGTGTACAAGCTCTAACGCTGCTGTTCTTCTGCTTAGACTGTCGGAAATGGCGCAAGAGCGCAACTGGCGCCAGCTAAAATGACTGTTTGTTTGCTTCTGGTGTGTGCAAACAACGCAAACACATTACTCATCAAGTGGGCCACACTCCAGACCCGCTCTCTAACGCCATATTCGCGCCCATTCCACCTAGCAATGTATACTTTATGCAAGAGCAGCGCTTGGCTTTTGGCAGCAGGTGAAAGCCACACACAAACAAAAATGAAGATGATTTAGTTGGGTAGGAGGGTTGGGGGTAGGAGGCAATATACACCGCATAGTCAAATGCCAAACCGCGTACTCAACGAGTGCTACGCATTGCGAATGCGTAGTTCATCTTAATAATTTATAAAAATTTATGCGAAATAGACCAAATTTGTTTCAGTTTCTGTTTCCCTTTAGGTCTTAATGCTTTCAGTGCTTGTGTCCCCATCGCGTTGCCAGTTTATGCCAGTATTCCCATTGTCTGCCCCGGCATCTGTTTCTGTTTGCTTAAAAACCAGTGACACGCTGCATATTTCAGCACACACAACAAAAACAAAGGGTATGATAAGTCTGATACAGCAACATGTAGAAAATATCATAAAATTTTATAGAATGTAAAAGACTTCTATTTAAAGGATTAACAAATTTAAGATGTATTTATTTCCATAGAAACGAAAATTCAAAATCATTTATTTTACTAAGCCCATTTTGCAAAAATGAAGAATAGTGTTTTTTGAATAGTCGTACGAGAAATATGCAGCTGTCATTTCCATTCAACATACGAGTATCATAAAACAATTATGGTTCATTCTATTTTTCTTTTTGTATGAGAATTGTTTTTATTGAAATATTTTTGGAAATGTTTGCGTGTTTATGGCACATACAATGCTGTATCTAACCAGAATTAGGGAGTACTCTTAAATTATATTAGAAGTCTTACATACAGAAATTGTCATTCATTTATAACAAACTTTAATATATTCAGCATGAATGAATTAATTTGCATACTAAATACGAAACTTGTATATCTTTTCGTTTAATTTTGTTTGTTTCCGAGGCAGCTCTCACAATGCTGTTCATTTTATAATTAAAATATGCTTTTTGTAGGAAAAGGGAATGTAGACATTATAATTCCATAAATTGAACGCAATTCAGAGAGTATAAACCAGCGTTAAAGAATAACAAGTTAAATGAAAATATTAAGTTAAAAAAAATATTATATAAATATAATTGCTTTTCAAAATACTTGATGAAGCAATTTTAAGAGTAAGCAGCTTATCATTTCCAGTAGACAGAACAATGCAATTCCATTTGCATTAGCTCCCCATTTAATTGATTGACAACTGACGACTGACGTGATTAACAAGTGATTCCAAACAACCCTAAGCGAAATCATTCAAAACACAACAAACCAATCACATTAATTGTACAATTCTTTAAAACTTAATTTCAAAGTTGAAGTCTTTATTTTCTTTATTCCGCATCGAATTAATGGTCAAATTTACTGTTGGAGTCAAGAGAATGGTGCGTCCAGCTCTAATCCGATTGAAGAAGTTTCTAGTGCGCATCATAAGTCATTATCGTGCACGGATTGTTCAGATAATGCATATCCTATCCGCGGCACTATTATTGAGCTCAATCGCATTCTTTTTCATATACGAAGTGTTTTACATACTGCCAAACTACCTGGATGCCTCAGGCTGCGCCTATAAGTTCAACTGGCTTCTGCTTTTGTATCTGCTGCACAATATACTGGGCAATATATTGTATTGCTGGGGGACAGACACGAGCTTTGTGGCATTGCCCAAGGATCGACAACAACCGCTGGCAACTGAGGCACATCTGTGGCACTTGTGCACCCACTGCAACATGCTGGTGCCGCCACGCACATTTCACTGTCGCGTCTGCAACTGTTGCATCCTCAAGCGCGATCATCACTGCAATTTTTTGGCCAACTGTATTGGCCATGTCAATCAACGGTATTTCGTTGCACTGCTGCTGCACTTAACTCTTGGCTGTGCCATCGCCCTCATTTACAATGTCCTCTATCTGTGGGAGCAGAGGGGCGCCGTGCTTAGCAATCCCAATGAATTTGTGGGCGTTTGTTTGGGCTTCCATCCACTGCATTTGACAATGAGCAGAGAGGCCTTGTTCAATAATGAACTAAACTGGCTGATATTCAATTGCTGTATTCTCAAGTTAAATGCGATCGCCTTGATGCTGGCCGGAGCACTTCTGATCATTCAACTCTTTATGATTAGTCGAGCGAGCTGTATGCATGCCATTCGGGATCGCAGCTACGATTTGGGCTTCAGCTTCAATATGCGCCAGGTGCTGGGCAAACGAATGCTCTGGACTATGCTCTCTCCGATGGTGCGCAGTCAACTGCCGCAGGACGGTACCCGGTGGCAACAGCCTCTGGACAACGAAGCCAAGAAGCCCGCCTGAATCGATTTCCCTTCACCCTCTGCAAAATATATGTATTTTTGTAATGCGTTTATCTTATGCATTGACCAAAATCGTGTTTAACACCTCATTTAATCAGGCAATTTGTGTGCTTATTGCCTCGGCTAATTACCAAGCAATGCGTCCACAGTGGTTGGGTGGTTGGGTGGTTGTGTAGCGGGTTAGTTGCCCGATAAGGCACGCGGTGCAGCCACGTGACAAAGCTTTATCTGGCAACTTTACGGAACATTCCATTTTCTATGCTCTATCTTAGTGGGTTAGTCATGCTTTTGAAGTCGATCAAAATCCTGTCGATATTTACGAAATTATGGAAATATTTTTTGAATACAATAACAATTTATTGATAAATGCAACACATTATAAATAACTTATGTATATATATATAAAATATTTACGTTGCATGTCTAATAGATAATAAATATATAGAAATTGGCATTACTATATAAGAGATATAATATAAATATAGCGTAAAGGGATATATAAATATAGCGTAAAGGGATATATTTGTACACTAAATATGAAAATTGTTTCTGTTTATGTTTCTTGGAGGCAGCTTCAAAAATGTAATACATTTTATATATATAATAAAGATTGTAAAATTATTATTTTATAATTTCATTAATCGAACATATTTTTGAGTCGAGCAAATTAATGAAATTGAATAACAGACGCGATGTTTGTTTAAATTGTTTATACTTTTTTAAGGTATTAACTCTTTTTTAAATTCTGCAGCGAGCTGAAACAGTCTGGCGTATTTAAATAAATGTATGTAATAAATACAATTGAGGCTTAGTTTAGGTAGATAAGTCTTAAATCTTCTAAATGTTTCAGTTAAAATCGATTACCATCAAAAGCATTTAATAGATGATGTTAATTATTATATGTAAAAAATATAAGATATTTTTAACAACAAAAATGGTTTTACAAATCCACAGAAAAGTGTATATTAGGAACGACTTGCTGTCATCAAATGTTCAATGTCTTAAACACCTCCATCTGCATAAAATTTGCTACAATGGTCTCGGAAGGAAGAAGTCAGATTGGGAAAGGACATTTTGCCAGATACTGCCATCACAGTCAAAAAGCTGACTGCACCTTTTGGCACCTCTGTGGCGCAGTCAGAAACACTTGTCAAATGTCAAAAAATCGTAAAAACAGTTGAAAAATGACAACGCCAGTTGAGGGTCGGCAATGGCAACAAGATGAGGCGGAGGGAGGCAAGCAGGGGGCCTGAACACAATTAATGATACTGCATGTCACTGACAAGCCTCGAAACACAAAACCATGAAGTCCATTTACGAAGGGTGGCTAAGGCGGGGGCGGGGCGTGTGCTCGTTGAATGAAAAATGTTCGAGGTGTGAAATCCGTGCGCAGCTCTAAACAACATAATTGCCAAATAAAAAAGTCGCCGCAGGCTGCGTGGACGACGCCGCTTTTGAGCTTGACCATTAATCAAAAGTGCGGCCAACTGCCAGCGGGAAATGTGCCCGCAAAAAATTTGAAAAACAACAGCAGCAGCAGCAGCATCAGCCAGACTAGACTCCAAAGTGCGCTGAAAAATGCGACGTCAACACTTTCCGGCCAATCAGCTGAACGCTCCGGGGACTGGGGCCATTGCCCAGCTATCATTGGATTGGTTCAAACTTCACTTAAACTTCCAATTACTCCATCAAATGTCTGATGGACTCCTGAAATGGCGAGCGCTGATTGCAGCGTTGTCAATTCTCAATTGTTAACTTCCGGTCGCCGTTCAATGCCGTCGCTTCCGCTTGCTCTGCTTGCTCAGCTACGTGTGCCTGGGCAGCATTTCTTTGCCAGCTTCTTTAAAGTGGAAACAAGCTGTTCTGACAGCAGCAGAAGGGTTTACAGGCACACAGCGAACTACTAACCACAAACCGACAGAGAACTGAGAACTGAGAACTGCCCTCACATTAGCAACGAAACAATCATACGCCGCATTGTTCAACACATTCCTCACACCTGGGTGAGGCGAAGAGTGACGGCATCTGTTGTATATATTCGAGTGTGTCCACGTTCAAAAATGAAAAATGTTGCATATCACAAATGAGAATAACTGGGACGAGGATTGAGGAGGCGAACTTTAAACTGCGGGCCTTTTTCTGTTGGCCCACAGTGGATCAGAGTGCGTCCCAGTGACAGTTCCCAGTTGCTGCCTGGAGCAGATAGCTGCCATGGAATGAGTTGAGGCGGGATGAAGGCCTGGTTGGTTGGATGACTGCTTGTCTGGTTTGTTGATTGTTTGCTTCTGCTTCTGCCTTTGCATCAGCAGCAGCAGCAGCATCAGCATCAGCTTCTACTTTTTCGTTTGGTTTCGTTTCGTTTGCAGGGCTAAATTTACCGCTAAGCATTTGCCAACGGCAGCGACGACGACTGCACAAAGGACAAAGGACAAGAGACTGCTGTGATGCTGGCCAGGATCATGGGGGTCACTGTAATCATAACGGTAATGTTGACGTTGTGTTGTATGTTGTGTGCTGTGTGTTGTGTGCTGTGTGTTGTGTGCTGTGTGTTGTGTGTTCTGTGTGTATCTTCCATCTGTGGCAGTGGCAGTGAGTGTGGAGCAACGCATTTCAAAAACCAAAAACTAAATACAAAAAAGAAATGCAGGACGCTCGCCAAATTACTGAAATCATGTTAGGGGCACATACAGGGTGCCTCTGCTGTGCCTCTGCTGTGGCTCTTCGGGTTATCTAAGGGAGTTCTCCATAATTTGCCTCTTTCTTGAATTGTGCCCGGCAATTTTGGCACTCGAATAAAAGCAATTGACTGAAGTTGCCGCCGTTTGTTGTTGCTGTTGTCTTTTCATCTAAGTTGACTGCGACGCCAGTTGCGCTGCCAGCGTCGCTGCTTCTGCTGCTGTCGGCGTTATCGGAAAACTCAGGGAAACTCAACTCGCGACAGTTTTTATTATATTTCGCTTGTGTTTTGCTGCTGTTTGCTTTGCAATTATTTCCCCTGCTGTGTGTGTGTGTGTGTGTGTGTGTGTGTGTTCTGTGTGGATTGTAATATTAACAGTAACAGCTGGAACAATTTGTTGTGTGCTGTTAAGTGAAAGCCAGGCCAAAAGCACTTCACAAACATTTGGCATTCGCTCAGTTGTCGCCTTTATTTTTGATTGCTTTCGTACAAATTATTTTGCAGTTTTTGCTTTGAAATTCGATACATTTTCTGCACATTTGCATATATTTGTGGGGATATGTTTGTGTTCTGAGTAACTTAGCTCTTTGCACACAGCAGGCAGCTGCTGGGGTTGTGGCATAATTTGCCCCTACATTGGGCACCTTTAAGGGGCATCAAAAGCAACAAAGTAAATTGGCTCATGTTTTTATAATACACTTGCAGAGGGAATTCTTACTTTGTCACAAATCGTGTGACTTATTAAAGAAGACATCTGCAAGCACAAATAGTATATACATATTTATACATATATATATATATATATATATATTTATATATATTTGATTGATCGATAAGAAGCCCAAGTCCGTCTCGTTTATAATTGAAGTTCTGTGTAAGCAGTTGGACTCCACTTCTCCAGCTTGTTTTATTTACATTTACAAGTGTGTTGTGTTTCTCAGTGTGTGTGTGTGTGTGTGTGTCTGTGTGAAACACCCCTAAAGTGCCTGACAGCGCCAACAGTTTTATTTGCATAGCAGTCCTTGCACTCCACCGCACTTAGCCAACTCCCCTTTCTGCTTGTCTTTTGCGGTCATTTAACTGATGTTTCTATTAAGGCGAGGTCCTCCGTCCGAGTCCTGTGCATGTGTGTGTGTGTGTGTGTGCTTTTGTGTGTCCCTGCGGCAAATGTTGAAATCGTGCGAAAAAATTAAATAAATGACCGGCTCAATGCCTTTGATTACGCTGCTTGCAGCATTTACCATTTGATTTGCCTTTTTACATATTTTTCTTGCTTGTCTTTTTGTTGTATTTTTTGCCTATTTGCCTTTGGTTTGCCCCCCGTTTTATTTATGCCTTTAACGCGCTATAATTTTTACATTGATTTTCGCTACGTTTCTTTTGAATTTTCCTGATATTCGTAGCTGGCTGGTTTCAGTTGTACGCTCCCAAAAATTTGCCTGCTGACTGTCCTGACGTCCATTCCATTCGCAATTTCCGCGGCAATTAAGGAATTGGCCGGATTGAGGGCATTTTGCATGCGCGACACGCACACATTTACCCCTTGTTGGGTCGTGGATGATGTGGATGCTGCCCATTGTTCATCATAAATAAATACTGTTAATTTTTCAATTGTCCGCTGAGCGTATAACGGCCTTGCCGCATGCCCGAAGGGCCCTGCGTGCAACGCGCTGTTCTGTGGGGAGCGGCGCGGGTTGGAAAAGTGTTCATGGTCAACGAGAGTCGCGTTAGCGCCGTTCGCCAAATTGATTGACAGCGGATTGGGAAATGGATGCACGTACTCCATATGGCGAGTAGGACTAAAAAAAAAAGAAGGAAAAAATGGGAAAAACAATTAACTCGGTGGTGAATATTAAATACCCTTTACAGCTTACTTGCTTACCTATTATTAATCATTTAATTAATTTTAAATTTAAACTTGCTAAATTAAATAAATCAATTCATTTCTAGTATATTATTTTATCAAATTACAATTTTAAATCTCAAAAATGAAATAAAGGATATCATTAATCTGTGAATTAGGCAAACGCAGAAAGGAACGCAATCAGGCCAAAAACTAAGAAAGATAAATCAGGATATAAATAACTAAAGTTTGTTATATCTAACTGGTCCCGGTCTTAAGTATCTCTTTTGTTGTTTGTGCCAGTTTTAATAAAATGTATTTTAATGTCGGTTTATTGATAAAACAATATTTATGTACACAGATATTATATATGCTGTTGTTGGGTGAACTCTTGTTGATATTGTTTTTCTATTTATGGTTTATATACACCGATATTGACGCCAGGGAGAGATTCACAGCGTCCGTTTGCAGTTAGCTTTGCAGTTTGAAACTCTTCAACATATAACACTAAAATTTGTGTAGCCACTTTCACTTTGGGCAA